TCGCTTTAAATGATTTTATAATCGTAAAATTTATTTTAAGTTGAATTCTTTTTACATTTTTTATTAAAAAAGGCTATAATTGAATGTCTACTTTGGGAAACATAAAGCAAAAGCCATCCAATAGCATAAAAAGTCCATTTATAGTCACTCAAACCTTTAAAAGCCTTATTGCTTACTTTAAATAGTTTTGTAAAATAATAATTGATTTTAAGTTGAATTTTTGTACACTTTTGGTTTAAACAGACTATAATTGAATGTCTACCCCAATAAATGTAAAGAAAAAGGTAGTCACTAGCAAGAAAAGTCTATTTATAGTCACCTATTCCTTTAAAAGCTTGATTACTCGCTCTAAATAGTTTTATAATATCATAATTGATTTTAAGTTATTTTTTTTTACATTTTTTATTAAAACAGACTATTATTGAATGCATGTCTTGTTAAACATGTAAAAAAAGCCAATCATTGGGAAGAAAAATCCATTTATAGTCTATCATTTCTTTAAAAGCCTTATTACTCGCTTTAAATGGCTTTATAATCTCATATTTGATTTTAAGTCAAATTTTTTTACACTTTTGGTTAAAACAAATGATAATTGAATATCTACCTCAAGAAACATGAAGAAAAAGGTATTCGTTGGCAATAAAAGTTCATTTATAGCCACCCATTCTTTCAGAAGCCTTATTACTCACTTTAAATGGTTTTATAGTCTCAAAATTGATTTTAAGTTGAATTTGTTTACATTTTTAGTTAAAAAATGCTATCATTGAATGTCTACCTTAGGGAACATGAAGCAGAAGCCATCCATTGGTATGAAAAGTCCATTTATAGTCACTGAAGCCTTTGAAAGCCTTATTGCTTACTTTAAATGGTTTTGTAAACTAATAATTGATTTTAAGTTGATTTTTTTATATGTTTTTAAACAGACTATAATTGAATATCTACCTTACGAATTATGTAGAAAAAGGTAAGTCTCGGACACTAGTAGTGATCGAGGGAAGAGGACGTTACAGACTTCGTATCAGAGTGAGGTTTAGTTGAGTCCTAGGAATTCTTGTGTCAAGCAGCGGAGTAGTAGGGTCAATGTGGAGTCTTGCTTATAGTTAGTGATTGCAGCACCGATTATAGGTAGGAGTTTACGTAAATCTCTTTATCTTAGAAAATCATCGTGTGAAATTATAAGAGATAATTAAATAACAAGAATTTATTATCGATGTCCAGGTTTGATATGCCCCCTCAGACTCGAGCATCTTGGAGGGTTACGGGTGAATCGAACGCGCTCAGAGAAACTGATGAACAACTATGGATTACTACCTCACGCGGACAGAGTCATTCTAGAACTAGGGGAAGGAGTTCTCGATGCTTAAGTGAGGGTAGTTCAAGTGATCGAAGGAGTGCTAGTATGGACAGCACTAGAATGGGTAGACCTACTTTAGAGAGTATTACTTTGGATGAGTTAGCTGTTGGATTGCGAAATTTGACCTAACAGTTTACCGAATTTACATAGAGATGTACTAGTACAGCTGAAGAGTACATAGAGTTTAGTTCACAAGATCTGGATTATGATCTATATGTAGATATGATAGTAGAGGAAGGGTTAGATGAGGAGGATGAAAATGATTCAAATGACAACGAAAGAAATGACTCAGTTTCATTATCTACATTTATGAAGGTAAAACCTCCATCCTTTATTAGTTCCACAGTGGAAGAGGACTCACATAGATTTTTGGACACTATGGAAAGGATCTGTCATGCTTTGGGAGCTTCGAGTACAAGGTCAGTAACATTGGCTAGTTTTCGTTTAGAGGATGTAGCACAACAATGGATTACATGGTACATGTGGGGTAAATCTAGTGATACCAGTCTGCTTGGGTGGAAGGAGTTTGATAAAGCTTTTATGGATAGATTTATGCCTCGTACTGTGTGAGAGGCTAAGGCCAAGGAGTTTGAGGCTCTAAGACAAACACCCGAGATGACAGTATCTGAATATGATGTATAGTTTACGCAATTGTCTAGATACGCCCTATACCTCGTGTCTTCAGAAGAAATAAGGGTGAATCGGTTTGTGGCTAGACTATATGAGTACTTGTTCAGAGTTGTTGCATTGCAAAGGTTTGATTCGTACTCTGATGCAGTAGATTATGCTCGGCTAATTGAGGGTCGTAGTATGGACACTAGGGCACTTCGTAAAAGTACTAGAAGAATTAAGGTTGAAGGATAAACTAGTCAAAGGAACACTGATCGAGAAGTGACTTTTGAGAGGTCAAGTTGACCTAGTCAAAGAGATATTGTTCAGAATAGAGGGCAAGCATCAACTGGATCTCAAGGGTTGAGGAGGAATCCCCAATTT